GACTGGCCCATGCATGCCCCTGCCTGGGGCTGGACCTTCGGAAGTTGCCGATTTTCCCAATGGCATGCTGAAATGGACCGAAGTTTTGCAACGAAACCAACAACTGCGCATCAACTTTGGATGCAACAAAAACACAGGCTGCAGCTGTCCGCGCACGACCAAGGTAGTCTACTGGCTCTCCGCGTTTCAGAGTCTCTCCTTGTTATTCTTCAACCACTGCTTCGAAGTCGTTCACATGGTTTGCATAGGTCTCAACGAAGTCCTTACCGCCTTGTATTGGGGCTGAGATACAAGTCTATTCAATATTCTTGCAAAGACGCAAACCACCCGCCAACATTCCAATGGCCAATCTAGATGCGAGGATTTGATCTCATTAAAAGGCTTTGGTCATTAGAAATTCTGAAAGGGCAGACTTTTCAAACCTGTTGATCGCATTTCCGCACCTGCCAAGGCCTCGGTGCCATAACCTCAGTGGCATGATGTTTCCAGCAGTGTGCTGAGCATCCCATGGCCGAGACACGTTCCAGAAAGGTAGGCCCAGGAGGTTGCATAGCAACTCAGTGACACAATGGTGTCTCCATTCAGGATGCAGCACCACGAGGAGGTGTGCCGTTTTGAAGGCACAGAGAAATAGCAATTCTTGATCAAGGAAACCAAGGAAACCAAACTTTGTATGTATGGGGTCGTTGTCTGATTTGAATATTTTGAATAGTTGCAAGTCCGCAACAGTCCATCAGCTCAAGGCACCGGTGATTGAAGCACCCTCTCCAAGGACAGTGGCCAAAGGAGTGCAGGACCAATCGGCAGCACCTGCCCCGTTTACCAATTGCATTGGAAAAATACAGACAAATTTACCAATGGGTCACTGTGTTATTTCAGAAATCTTGGGCACACCTCCTGGGCGTCGAGCACTGAATACAGCAGCCCGAAGTCGTCGGAAATCCTGCGTTTAGTAGCCATTCAAAATCTTAAAGATTCCAACTCGAAAATGGATCATGAATCAAGGAAAATGATACCTGAACCCTGGCCATCATTTCTGGGAGCGCAACGGAAAGACCTATGCCTCCTTACATCAATGTGGATTATCCTGTTGAAAAGGGTAGCTGGGACCTTGTTCTCCAGCAGTCCTGCTTGTGCTGCCCGATTGTTGATTGCAAACAATTCAGTTCCTTACTCTTTTTGGCGCATCTCAGCATCACACACATGAAGTCAACACAATGTGCGAGCAAGTCGCATGTGTGGAAAACCACGACTCCCCCAAGTAGAAGCGTAGCAAACAAATGGGAAGCTGTGAAAGTTCGCCATGCACATCGCTGGAGCAAATAACCTCAAACATGTTCGACAACAAAAACAATTGGAAGCTCGTCAAGACAGAAACACATGGGTAACAAAATGAGTGATTCTCACAACTTTGCTGCCAACCCGATGTTACAACCAAAACGCTTTGCTTCTCACGGCATCCGCGCCAAACATCGGAGATTCAGAAACGACGTGAAGGGAAAATGACAAGGCTTCAGATCGACTGGATGCTCCAAAGTGTTCCAAAGCCCAACGAAGCGATTCAGCCTCGCTAAGCGACAGTGCCACAACACAGTGGCGGCCCGCCTGCTCCAGTTGCAAAGCAACTAAGACAGGACGAACAATTGGAATCTCGGTGGTCAATCGGGAGTTGGGAGAAAAACGCAATCCAACTGTCGCCAACATCTCCAGCACAGAATTTTTCTTTGCAACGTTGGAGGCTGCCCCTGCAATGCCCATGAGGATCTCCGCTACAGAGGCAAAGGTGGGAAAGGCGAACAAACTGCCGAAGCCTTTGTCGCTGGAACTGTTAGATGCCAAGATTTGCAATTTCTCAAGCTCCCAAAAGCGGGTTTCTCCGATTCGAGGCCGATGGATGGGGCCATTTTCTTCGGATTCGATTTGATGTTCCTGTTGCTGTTGCTCTTCTTGTTCACGAACAATCTCGCCCGTGCAGGAATCTGATGCAGAGCTGGTACCTCAAAGCAACTCGTGAACATATAGCACATCTATGCACATCTGCATTGTAAACATGACAATGCTTCAAGGGTTCACCTGAGGTGAAATGCATCACACTCGTTACTAGTCTCACAATTTCATCTCATTTTGCCGTGTGCCATTCACCTGCACCAAGATACCCAACATCTGCACAGCACGCTTGACTGCTTGATCCACAGCTGCCCGAACCGAAAGGGTTTTGTTAAATGGCTGTGCGAGGTCCCGCAATGCATCTTCCAAGCTTTGTGATGAGGAACTGCGAATGCTGGTTGGCACGGATTCCAACAATGCATTGATTCCGTTACCTCCACTGTCATCCTTTTGGTCTTTTCGGCCTTGTAGCAACTCGCCAAGAGCTTCATCCTTCCACGCACTCAATAAATCTTGTCGCACCAGCTGTCGTGCTTGCAACTCCTCTTGCTCCAAGGATTTCAACAGCAAAGCCGATTGGATATCTCTCAGGGCTTCTGCCAGAGCTTCTGTTGAAGTCAGATTTTTCAAGTTCAAAGCTCGGTCGTCTTTCAACAAAACGCGCATGTAGAGAGCCACTTCTTCTGGCAGCAGCATCTCACAGCCTTGGCCCTTGGCTAAGCCACGCATTCGCCAGGCGCCTTGTTGCAACTCACGAATCGACATGTCTTTCCCCACCGTGATGGCAGCAACCTCAGCTGTACCAGTCTTGTGTGATACATGACAATAAACAAAATATTGCTGCAGGAGTCACTTCTATGTGTTAATAGCGGGAAAAGCGTCTCTTGAAATCCAAGCTCCCATGGATTCCCAAGGAACTCCCAAAGGTGGCTGCTGAATGTCGATTCCTGTCGTATGCGGCTGGTCGAAATAGCAGAAGCGCCTCTCCGGTCTGATGTTGGCATCTTCCAACGGCACTGCTTTTGTGGCACCTTTCCTTAGTGGCTCGGAGCTAGTCATAGTGACAATTTAGTTCAATCCAGATCCCACCCAAAATTGTCAAGCGATAGTTGTATGGCACATGGCACCAAGTTTCAACAAGATCATGGGCAAATCAGTTCCGCGAGCCAGGAAAATGCAGGCATCCTTTACGGAACTCAAGGGACTTTCCATCAAGAACTTGGCCACCTCCTCATTTTCCAAGCCGCACAGCAGAGCCCCAGTATCAATCAATGCACAAAAGGCAACAAGTCCACGCGACTGCCGCGTGGCGACGAAGTCCAACAAACTTCGAGGGGTCCAACCGGAAGCCAAACAATGCAACGACACCACCTGTGGAGACGTCAAAATTGCCATAGTTTGACCATCCGTATCATCAAAGTCCACGGGTGGCATAGTTGAGGGGAAGATGTTGGAAGGGGTGCCAGAGAAACCAAGACGGACCTTGAAGATGCTTGGAGATGCCAATTCCTGCCAACAGTCGCAGATGTGGGAAACTAGTTGGCGCAAAGGGACCTAAACTTCCGCAGCAAATTCCCAAAACACAAGTCATGTCAATATGAGGATGTCTTTGTCATCTTTGTCCTGTGCACAGGCCGAGAACTTCTTCACTTGTGTCGGCGTGGCTTTCGGAAAGATCTCCCGTCTCAAGTAAAAGAGATAAACCTCAGAACGTTGGCGCCACAGCGTCTTAAGGCTTCGGATGGTTGGCGCATCGGGCTGCACCAGGTCCAATGGCAACACCGCCGTGTCAGCATCGCACTTCGTCCACTCTTGGAAGCGACGAAACGCTTCACGCTGCAGTGGAGGAGTTGCCACATCTCTCAAGAGCTCTGCTTTCAACCTCGGCGAATCCAACTCGGCTACTGTGTTCTCAACCATTCAAGTGAACAAAACAACTTTCGAGCAAACTTCTAACTTGGGTCCTGAGCATCCTGCAGTAGAAGCATGGCCTTGACATCTGAAAACCGCATGCCCTCGTAGCCAAACGCTAGAATGGTCAGCCTGCAGTACGTGGACATGAGCCTCCACATAAGGGAATCCAAATTTAACCAAATTGTTGTTCCCTATGGGTGGCATGCACCCATGGCGCAGCGGAAGTCTCCCGGTGTCAAAATCTCATGGTACCAAATCGCCACACCGGTTATCAGCGCTACTGGGTTTGCACAAGACCCGAAATCATTTGTGCTGCCCGCAACTCCCTCAAAATCGGCCAAATTGGCTTCAGCTGAGATCTGGGCCCGATGGCAACGTCAGGATTGGCCTAGGAAAAGGGCAAAGCTGGTGCCAAAGTGTGACCATTTTATGCCTGGAATCTAAGCAGCTGGCGAATTCGGATGCCAACGACGGCGTCTCCAAGCCTGTCCAGCTTAGAGTGATGGGGTCAGTGATGGTCAAGAAAGAAATGTATACACAACCTTTTTGTGTTTCTATGATGTCGCCCCTTTATCGTCCAGGCCTGTGAATGGAACTGCCACTTGCAAACGAGTCCCGGTGGGTGGATAACCACGAGTCGTCAAATCCAGACGATCTTTGCGTCGCAGCAGGCCGTAGTGTACCCTGTTCACTTTCCCCAACACAAAGGGCAACAAATGCTTCAGCCATTCACGGCTCAAAGTCAACAGGTCCTCTGCATCTGCTGCCACTTCAGTCTTCCCTTGTAAGGCTCTCATGATTTCGCTTTGGCTCATCGACTTTGTGGCTGTATGGTTTTTCAGATATTCGTAGAGCCAAAGGCGTAACGGTTCTTCCAGGTGTTCGAAGTAGAAGTCTTCGATGGCAAGGATCAAATGAGGATTTTGCCGCAAAGCCAGTTTCCGCACACCCAAGCTGATGGCCTTTGTGCAAACGGCAAGTCTGGAGATATTGATGTAACTTCTGGGCCAACTCATCTCAAACATCACCTTCTCCAGGTTACAAACTGAATCACCTAGATTCAAACATACTTATGCATCTTATGCTCTTTTCTTGGTAGCTTCCCATATCGTTTTTCAATCACTTCCACAGATCGATGGCCTTTCGGCTTCGCACTTCGTCAAAACCCCTGGCCTCCTGACATGCTTTGGCTGCTGGGCTGTGGCAAGGGCTCTCCTTGTCTCTCACGAAGGGCTGCAGCAAATGACATGGAAGTTCCCAACGCTCCGGAGACAACTCCAAGGGCTGTCGCGGTCCAACCGGAAAGTTCCTCAAAACATTTGATCAGCCAAATACTTGTAACAAAAAGGGCGCAGAAACAATCCAACTGAATCAAATCAGGGCAGTGCAACACTATGAGAAACTAGCTTTCTGAGTACACAACCGATCGCCACAAGGCATTCTGTCGGGTAAACAACCTGCAAATTCTGATGCAGCCGGGAAGCAGTTCAGAGATCAGCGGATGAAGGATGAGGTCTACTTCCTGTCACTCACAGCAATGGCATGCATGGTTGATGCCGATGCATGATGACACATAGTAATGTAATTGCCACTGCTATCTTGCTGCTCATTCATCTTTAGCAATGACTTCAATTGTTGTTGCGGAAACATGCTATACTAAGAATTTTGGGCGAATATCTTCTTATTTCCTTTCCATTGGGGGACTTTGGGTTCTCACAGTGTGATAAACAAATCGGTTGTGAAACCAGGGCACGTCCAGGACGACAATTGCAGAGCGGAAGGTCAAAAGGATTCCGCGAAGGCAAACTGTCACAAAGTCCATTTCAGCCCTGGTGTCAGCAAAAACTGTGACACACTTCATCTGCAAATGTTGCGTCAGAAGACATGAGCTGACAATCAAAACCCAAGATGATCCGAGGTGCTGAGAAGAAAAGTCGGCAGCGCCAGGGTATTGTTTTTCCGTCACTTCGATGCACCTCGAAGCAATGAAATGGAGAGAGAGATCAAAAGAGCACTGAGGCCACCAATTGGAATGACAAGAGCAACAAGAAAAATAATGACCCATAATTGAAGAATGCACATGAGTCCTTCTTTCCAGGCCATTGGTTGGCTTTGATTTTGTCAGGCGACTTGGAGATGTCGTAGGTCCTATGGCCCGAAGAGTGCCCAGCAAGTTGGGAGAGCTTGTAGGTGGCTTCAACGAAGGACAGAATACAACCTGGAAATGTCAAAGGGTAAGCCCAGGTGAGGCAAATCAGCAGGTTGATATTTGGAGTTGAACATGGTTGAACTCTTGGTTATCTAAATTGCACATCAACAGTTCGGATCCAGTGGTGACACATCCGGCTCTCAAATTTGTTTCGAGCAACTCTTCACAGAGGAGGCTGTAGTGCAGACCTGACGGCTTTCCACAGTTACAGCCATCACAATGCGAAAAATGATCCGTTGTAATAAGTTCATCATGAAAAACGATCGCCAAGATTAGGTCAATCAAAACCTGATCAACTTGTCAAGATTCTCAATGATCAAATATTGGACACTTGAAACCGTGATGATCGTGATGTAAGTAAATCACCTTTTTCATTTTTCTGATTCCATACCATTGACATATAAATCCTTCAGTACCAAATTATCAGCAGTTCCTCCTTCCACCAGTCACTTGGCTGCATGAGTTGTTGTTCAAGTGTGTTTACACCCAATGTGCGAGTACTGATTCTGTGAATCATGGTTTATTATTAGCCAAAAATGGCAATTGCCTGACGAGTGTAACGGCTTCGGTTCATAGTACTGAGCTTTGATGTTAAGGATTGCTGATTACAATGATTGACAATGAAGTGTTGTGCATGGCCAATGTTTGACCAAATAGAACATGCCTGTTCATGGATAATAAGACCAATTACGCTTAATGTTCAATCGCGGTTGACCTTCAACCCATATGAAATGACTGAAAGCTGTGACCACTCTCGACGATGTCGACGATCAATGGATAACTATCAAATACGCATCCGCAAATTGACTCCTTGACGTGTAAACCAGCCAAAAAGGTGGCTGAAATGACTCTGAGATTAAACCATTGATTATACATGATCATACCGATACCATTATTATTGTGATACCTCCATTACTGTGGCTTCCACTTCTCTGCGCTGAGATGCTGCAGCACACTGTGTCACGGCCAGTCGGACCTGACCAGGGCGGTCTTGCGGTGCGCGACTTGGTCTTCTGGTAAGTCGTAACCAGAAAATCGAATCGGATGGAAAACTGACCTACGCCAAATGAGCGCATCAGAAGTTAGGTCTGATTGGATACTTGAGTTACCAAACGCAATTTTCGGTCTGATGCAGCTGTGCCAACCCTCACATGCGCGCTTCCTCTAGAATCAAAAGTAGTCCGGGCTGTGGAGAAGCGTTTTTTTAGTGTTCTTGGTTTGAAAATTGGAAAGCCCTCGTCCGCCTTCCGGAGCAAGAAGAAGGCAGATTTGCTGCTCGCATCAGAACGGTCGAAGCTGAAGTGGAAAACGGGACGGAAGAAGGCCTGGAAAAAACACCCAGCTGACGAGAGCTGTACATGCTAACCCGTGATGATCAAACTGCATAAGGTGTCGAACCATATCGAGCATGGTTGCCCGCGTGCGCACGAGCCCAAACAAAAGATGATCATTCTATACCACCAAAAAATCACAGGATCAAGGTACTAAATGGCAAAATGACTTATAAACTGTAAGCAGGAAGGGTTCGTACATAGTTTGTTGGTGGTTGACCCCAGTAGGTCAATCACAGTGAACTTGATGGGCGAATGTCCTTATGATCCCAACTACCAGGATGAAGGCTTACAGCAGTGAGCGCACGAGTACCGTGAAACTCTACCGACATGAGGCAAGAGTAAGGACAGCAATTGTTTTGGGTACCCAAACTATTTGTACAAGTACCAGTACCCGTTGAAACATGCACCACTAAGTACACATTTCCGTGATTCTACACCGCATGTACTATGCACTGACGGGGGGGTCGGCGCTAACATCCACTGCTGGCCTGTCCAAAAAGGGCCCGCATGATGGCCAAACTTTGCGACAGGAGCGGATCAGGCACAACCTCCAGACACTGGACACACATCCGCTTTCTTCACATCATTCCGTGCTGTCATGGCACACCGACCATGCAAAACCTACACTGTCCCACACGCTGTACCACGAATGTTTCAACAACCCTCACCAACAAGGTTTCCACCATCACTTACCGGAAAGAATAGGTTCCCAAAAAGCATAGGATGACATTTGATCCACGGCGGTTTCCCCCATTGCCTGCAGGACCAATTCCTCCGCCAGCAACAAACTCAGCAGTGGCGCGATCACAGCGGATTTGCCTTCACCCATCAGCAGCTGCCGCACCAAAGGTTGCTCTGACCTGATCAGCATCCAGGATGCTCAAAATTTGGATTCGATGTTTTAGTATGTTCCAATCAATTTGGAAAGTGAACCCAGCCTTGCCTGGCAGCATCCACAAAGCGACGGACCAAATCCATCTGCGAAGACCGCAAATTTCCCTTGACAAAAAGCCACTCGAAGAGCAAAAAATGTGGATCCATGACCAGACCTGGCACTGCAATCGCCATGACGCATGACTCAAAAGAACACATGACACGGAACCTTTCTGACTTGGCCCAATCGCTTCGGAGAAAGCAAGTCTTGTGGTATGCGGATGCATTTTGCGTCTGTCGCTTTAGAATGCTTAAACGGAATCAGTTTGTGCCGCCAAACTCATGAAACATCTCAACGACATCATTGAAACCAACTTCGAACCTAAAACCGCACCCCAACTGCAAAGCCTGATCCATCTGCTTCTACGAACTCTTCACCACAGCCAAGCTCAGTGGCGAGTCGGGACGCGAGATTTTGCAAACTGCGCCATTCCCCACCTAGGATAGCTACCGACACCCAAAGTGGGAGAGAAGACGGCTAATCCTTCAAGATTTGGAATTGGATTCTCACTTCCTGATGTGCGCTCCAAACTCAGCTGAGTTTAATGCAAAGAACAACACTGCAACGTGACACGCCGCGCTTTGTGCGATCTCACCGTCAAGTCCCATCCCAACCCATCAATCGCAAGGCAAGCGGCTGCTCATCACATCAGGCAAGCGCCTGCGAGATCGGAAACCAAAACGTACCAAAACGACAACTGTAAAGGGTAAAAAAATGCCAAGGTGGTACACCTCACCGCAATAGTGGGCAAAAACCAATCGATTTCCGATAAATAACACACGAAGTCGCCAATTCTTGCTTAACCATTGTTCTTGGGCAACCTGGGCCGTTATCAATAGAAACCATCAACGATGCCGTTTAGAATTTCACCGCGTGACAAACCCAAATGATCAAATACCAACAATCATCATACAGAGACCAGTCCTCTCCTTCGCAATGTCTTACCTCAGTAAATGCAAACAATTATATCACTTAAATTTGTATGGCTGACAATAACGATCATGTGATCAACATATGATAAGACCATGTGTTAATAATTGAGTTTTGATAGACCAGCTACTGAAAAACACTACCATGTGATATCAGCATGAAGCAACTCATGTGCATCAACACATGTCGGAAAATGCTAACCCGCAAAAGCAAGGTGTTCCCCACGCAATTAGCCACCAATCAACCCGAGCGCAATAGAACATGACTAAATCATTCACAAGTTCTTATCAAGCATGAACCAATGATTATGATTTCAAGCAATTTTTTTAGGTCATTCATGACCCAACAACTCAACATTTCACACCAAAAAAAACATGAAATCTGGCACCAAGCCGTCGTGTCACCGGCACCTCAGCTGGGCAGCCAAGGCGAAGCCATGGGCTAAGGCGCGGCGTGCAGCGGTGGCGCGGGTGGCCAGTAACAAGACCGTCAGGGTGGCCTTCACCAAACCTGGACAATCCGAATTGCATTGGATGCGTATCCATATCCTGAATCGTGTCATAACGATGTATATCATTGCATTGTTATAGCCATGTCATGCGCTGGCATCCGGTAACTGTGATAGTGGTTGCCAGCCGTGGAGGGTGGCCGCCGAGGCACATTCGGGCTGCAGCACGTCCAAACATGCCTCTGGATCCAACGAAGACGGCAGAAACGATGCGAAGACTTGGCCGGCCTTTGCTAGTGAAACAGGTGTCAGCAATCATTTTTTATCAGATCATAAATCTACCAGGTGGTCAACCACTAAAACTAAAGACATGTTCGAAGGAAGTTTAGAAGTCAAACTTCCGACAATCTGGACAGATGAAAAGCAGAGCAGGGAAGAGGCAGAGAGAAGAGAAAGATTAGAAGAAAGAAGAGTAGAAGAGAAAGAGTAAGAAGAAAGAAGATGGAGATGCGCGAAAAGGTAGAAAAGTCGCGAAACACTGTGTTTTTCCAGTGATTTGGGGCTCCGGAGGGTCGAAAAGTAGGCTCGCTAAAGCGGCGGGTGCGGAGCCAGCTGGCCAGATGAGAGATGCAAAAATGCACGCCGTTGTGGCGCGAAGCACATTTCCAAGTCAAAATGTACAAAACACACCATGGTCGGACCACTTTTGGAAGTTGCGATGTTGAAAAAGTGCACGCCGTTGTGGCGCGAAGCACATTTCGAAGTCAAAATGTACAAAACACACCATGGTCTGACCACTTTTGGAAGTTGCGATGTCGAAAAAGTGCACGCCGTTGTGGCGCAAAGCACATTTCGAAGTCAAAATGTACAAAACACACCATTGTTGGACCACTTTTGGATGTTGCGATGTCGAAAAAGTGCACGCCGTTGTGGCGCGAAGCACATTTCGAAGTCAAAATGTACAAAACACACCATTGTTGGACCGCTTTTGGAAGTTGCGATGTTCTCGGACCACTTTTGGAAGTTGAGATGTTGAAAAAGTGCACGCCGTTGTGGCGCGAAGCACATTTTGAAGTCAAAATGTGCAAAACACACCAGGTCCGGACCACTTTTGGAAGTTGCGATGTCGAAAAAGCGCACGCCATTGTGGCGCGAAGCACATTTCCAAGTCAAAATGTACAAAACACCACATGTTCGCGCCACTTTTGGAGGTTCGGATGTTGAAAAAGTGCACGCCGTTGTGGCGTGAAGCACATTTCCAAGTCAAAATGCACAAAACACCACATGTTCGCGCCACTTTTGGAGGTTCGGATGTTGAAAAAGTGCGCGCCGCTGTGGTGCGAAGCACATTTCCAAGTCAAAATGTAGAAAACACCACAGGTTCGCGCCACTTTTGGAGGTTCGGATGTTATATAGATAAATAGAGAGATAATTAGATACTGTAGATAGATAGATATATAGATAGATAGATAGATACATAGATAGATGGACAGACAGACAGATAGAGAAATAGATAGATGGACAGACAGACAGATAGATAAATAGTCAGAGAGATAGCTAGAGAAATAGAAGGCGAGATAGACAGATAGATACATAGACACAAAGACAGATAGTTAGATACCAAGACAAATAGAGAAATAGATGGGTAGAGACATAGACAGATAGATAGACAGATAGACAGATAGAGAGAGAGATATATATATATAGAGAGAGAGAGACACTACAGTACAGTTCATGACACTACACTACACTCCACTACACTACATTACACTACACTACTACACTACACTACCTTCCACTACACTTCACTACATTACACTACACTACACTCAACTACACGACAACTACAACTACAACTGCACTCCACTACACTCCACAACACTAATTTACACTACGCTAAATTACACTACACTACACTACATTACACTGCACTACACTACATTCCACTACACTCCACTACACTACACTACTTTAGACTGGATGACACTGCACCATAGATAGACAGGTAGACAGATAGACAGACAGACAAACAGATAGATAGATAGATAGATAGATAGACAGGTAGACAGGTAGACAGCTAGACAGATAGACAGATGAAAGAGAGAGAGAGAGATAGATAGATAGATAGATCGATCGCTGGATAGATACATAGAAAATAGATAGGTAGGTAGGTAGATAGGCAGGGAAAGAGAGAGAGAGAGAGAGAGAGAGAAAGAGTGAGAGAGATCAAGCACCTTTCAATCCATCAGTGGCTTCGCTCTGCCATCCTTGAATCACAACAACCAACCTCTCCTATAGGTTTCCTACTTTTGAAACTTCCGCCACCGCCTTGTGCGGTCCTACTGGTATACCAATCGCCAATAAACTAGTGAAGCATAGGGACATCACCAACAAAACACAATGGAGCGCACTATCCTGAACAGCAAAAGACAATACATGGGTTATAGATGTCCAAGACAGGATGCCAAGACCATTGATGCGTAAGGATGACCTGTAGTATTTTCTTATAGTTGATAACTTTGATCACGCCAAAATCTTGGATGTGCCTTGATTGATGCACGATGCACACATGTGCAGTTCATTGCATGGCCAGGTGGCATCCCGTGCCAGGATGGATGCCAGAATCCATTCGAAGCTCAGCATCGGCGGATGAAATCCTTGGTGGCCATTGTCGAAGTGACATCACGGAAGCAGAATCACATCTGGGCAAATGACAAAGACCATAGCCACAGAACCCCAAAACACAGGAGATCCAAGTTTTAGTGCTGGAGTCTCGCCAAGATTCCACTGACCACCTCCAGGTCCCAAACCTTCCGATGACTCTCGGATGCACGTTGAAGTGGCCTCTGCCAAGTCCCAAAATATTTCTCAATTCGACAGAATCCCACTACTCTGGAATTGGCAATGCTTGTTGCAGTGCTATGGCTCCAGCCAGCACTTATCAAATCACGGACATAATTGATCACGTTGAGGTGGAAATCACCAATCTTTTAGTGGATGAATTTGAGCCAAACAGCCAAACATATTTTGAAACATATTTTGGGACCACCAGGAGTTGCTGAGGGCGTCACCGTCTAGACCAAGCCATCATGGCCTCCACTCCCAGCTGTGCTCGCTTCATATCCGAGTCCCGCTGTGCCTGGAAAACCGCATGGCAACATGAAGAGCAAGGTGGATGTGGTTGAGGCAAAAAATAGCTGACTGATGCTGAGCAAACTTCGAAATGTACCAAAACCGTGTCCATGGGTTCTCCCGATCTCCAAAATGCAGATATTTGAGCCATGTAAAGTGATTTCTTTTGCACACCTGCAACATCTTGAGCAGTGCTTCCACATCTCCAACCACATCCTGGCAGACTGGAGGGTCTCAAATCAAACGTTTCATCCTGATTCATCCTGCACATCTTCAGCATCACCAGGTTTCAGCAGCTTTCATCATGTTTGTCAATTTCCGGTCCTTCAGTGATGTCTGTGACTCGCGGCCGCAAAGTCCAGTGAGCCCTCCATGAGAAGTCTTGAACTGCAGAGTCGGCTTCTCCTGGGCGCTGGTCATAACAACTCGAGCATGTATTTCTGTCAATGTACTAATGTACTACTCTTTGACATATACATCTGACCCAATTCAAGTCAAGTTTAATTCACACCATCACATCCATCATGTCATCATCATCATCATCATCATCATACAACACATGTGGAATATATCATGGTGATTCATCGTATATCCAGATATATCTGCATCACCTAATGGTAAAATTTTTAATGGTGATCACCTAATGGTAAAATCTGTAATGGCACATCATATCACATATCTGCCGTTCACCTTATGCTTTCACGGGCCGCTCCTCGCGTCGGCTGTGAGCCTCGAAGGCAGCAGCGGAATTCTTCCAGCGCTCCAAGGTCTCCCGATTGACGCCGCAACGCGGAACCGAAGACATCAGCCTAGGTGGCTCCCAACCTGTGAACAAAATAAGCAAAAAGAAAAACATGATGAAGGTTGGGTTCACTAAAAAGTGATTTGAAGATAATAAAATAAAATAAACAAATAAAATAAAAGAAAATAAAAAAGTGATGAAGTTTCACTATTCACTATTTTACTATCTTCAAATCACCTATCAATGCTGGTGGTTTCTGAACTGTCAAATCACCATGATGGAGACATGTTCGTGAAACAACCGGCGGCATGTTGGACGTTGATGCCATGGAACCGCGGAAGTCCGTTCCACACAGATCCCAGGTGTCGCCAAGGAGGAGGATCCATCACTTCACTCACGAGCCTTGGTGAGACAACCGACGAAACCAATTGGGAAAAAGACGCTCAACGTAGAAATCATGCAATCATAAAACACCAAAAAAAAGTAGAATCACAGAGCATGATCTTGGCAAGTGGACAACAAAACCAGAACTTTGCCAGGAGACAAGTCCTCAAGCCCAGGGCAACCAGCCACCAAGGCTGGCTGGTGACCCGACAACCTCACTTATCTTAAAGTAAGCAGAAAAACATATTTTGCACTGGAAGTTGCACAGGATCCACTGCCTGATTTGCTCCGGGACACGCAGTCAACTCCTCCTGGGAAAGCACCGGCCATGCGCTGTTGAGAGCCGACTCGCTGCCCAACACATGGCGATGGCATCCAAAGTCCTGGCAGCGGTGAGTTTTCAGTTGTGATCAACACCCGGCTGCTTGAGGATGGTGAAGGTCAAAGATGGGATACCAAATGGTTCAACCAAAAAAACGTGATACAGTGTTCAGCATGATGAGTAAGCGACTGTTGACCTAGTTTGATTGGCAGCGGACCCGATTGTCAACATGCTTCCCCAAGAATAAAGGCCTCATGAATGACTAATGATCACGGTGAGGCATGGAGACATGTTGGTGTGACACCCGATCAGGACATGAGTTTCTCTTCAACTCAGGTTGTCCTTTTCAAGCTTTGCTTCGGTATCTGCGAGCTTGTCACACCATGCTCAATCATCCAAATTGCACGCTCAACCACTGTTTGCAGAGCTAACCTATCAATGGACCCTTTATTGAGGCCATCGGCCAGCATGCTCCTCGTATCGATCCAGTGAAGTTTCGACAACTGCTGTGCACTCATTAGTTCCCTCAATTTCAACAAATGGATCAGAAGAGGTTGGTCGTTTGGCGCTCTGGGTTCCGGTGCGATGGCGCTCTCAAAAACAGAAGCTGCATCAATGATCAATTCAGATTTGAGTGGCAGATTACCTTCCTCATGTAGCGATGAGAGTTCGTCCGCTGTCTTTTCACCCAACAGCAGTTCTGTCATCGTCATTGACACGTTGAAAAGCAAACCCATCCAATCCAAACCACTGTACAGTTCGGCTGCATATGTGGAACGACACACACGAGTCTGTTTCTTGCTGACAAACTCCACGATTTGAACTTCATTAGCTCCTTGGACGGGAAAATCCTGATTGACCAAGCAGATCAAGCCACTTCTTATTGCCAAGCAGTCTTGTCCCTCTCCTTTGAATCCAGAGTCTGAGATTGCAATCAACTTCCACGGATTACGCAGTTTCTTGAACCGCATGGTCAGCGGTTTGTGTTTCACATAGTACAACACCCGGTTCAGATCCAACAAATCTTGCACCACTGGACACTGCAATTTCCTTTGCAATGCGCCGACAAAGACCGCCACATCAGGTCTAGTCTGTACGGTCCACGCTAGACCGCCCAGCAATGACATGAAGAGATGCCGATCGCTATCATTCACTTGTGCATCCTTGTCCATGATTCTGAGGTGTGCATCAGGAATGGGTTTGAGTTCTTGTATGTAGTGCGACTGGATCCATCACTCAATCGCTCGTGCTGGAGACCGAGGTGAATGAAGTTGTCCTTTTCCAACTTGACAGTGTCAAAATGGGCTTCAAGTTTTGAGATCACTTCGTTCATGACTTCTGTTTCTCCAGAAAGTTTTATGTCATCAACATGTATGCTCAAAACAACCCGAAGTTTACCACCGCGATGAATGAAGAACAACTGTGGATCAATTTTGGTCGGAACTGCCCCAATCGACGCCAAGACTCCCTTCAAGGCCAAGAGCCAAAGGCGTGGGGCATCACGAAGCCCAAATCCTGGCTTGAGCAATATCAAGATTTCGGAAGTGGGATCAAAGTCATGGTACCCTTCAATGGTGCGAATTAGGTGTTCGCTACCTGTTGGAAGTGCTAGCTCTACCTTTCTCAATTCTTCACCTTCCTCAAGATGCAACTGCTCAAAGCTAAGACCGCGAAGAAATGCCTCTGAAATGTCAGCAGACCAGAGGCTCCACTGCATCTGGACAGCAATCGACAAAAGGAGTCTTTGACTCCATCGAGTGGACGTGCCAGCAAACGTTGCAGTCATCTGCTGATCAAGGAAACCTTGGGCTACCAGTCGGGCTTTTATTTTACGTGTTTTATCTTTGCCTAGGCCTGTGTCTTTCCACTTGAGGACCCACTTGCTTTTGAGTATGTTTCCGGCACCTTCTCTTCTGCCTCTTTTCCAAGCTTTGTGTTTGATCCATCTCATGAGTTCAAGAAGCATGGCATCCTTGCACTCGTCAACGTGCGCAGTGCTTCATCACGAGTGAGGATGTTGTTGACCCTCTCAATCACTGCATTGGTGGCCTGTCCTACCTGATATGTGAACACAATGCGATGATCTAGATTTACAAAGGCGTGATGGGAGGCAAATGGCATGACCATACATTTGGAGAGTGGGGCCGGAATTTCAAACTGAGGTGGTTCATCCAATTCATCAGGATCAACAATGGTGTTGGCATCAATTCCTGAGCTCGAAACGTGAGGGCAGGTTGACACATAAGTTGTACCCAGAAACTCAGGTTGCTTGGTTACTCATGCAATCGAAACTATATGGCTCCTCATCTGAATCAACGTCTTCACTATTGCAAGGCTCATGGTTCGAAGTCTGGTCTTCGGAAAGGCTCGGGAATGATGAACTGACATTTGCGTGACTGTCATTGGATCCATCTGCTATTGGCCTAGGTCCTCTTGATCTTAGGACTTCATCAGTCCTGTCATTCATGTTGGGCATTTGTGGTTCGTTCATGTATGCCGCCGACATGCGGAATGTCAGACACAACTTGACGCAGTGACTTGACCTCAGTGGCACTGACCATGAGAAACTGAATCATCGAAGCATTGGCATCACCAGTGATTCTGGAAACACTGATGGCACGATCACCTGGCGTGAAACAAGGAAACCACTCACTGATTTGGTTATTGCTCCACCAAAGTATGAGAGTGTCATCAAAAGCGACTGCTGGCAGTGTGTTAACACAAGTTCCATAACGGAAGCCTACGACACCTTCGAGGTGCATGCAGCATGCTGCTACATACAAACCGGCTGCAAGCACTTCAGCACAATCCACGTTGGCTCGACATGGTGCCCAAATGCTTCCTTGACGAATCCATCCAGCACGGAGAGGTTCTCCGATCTGAGATTCGACACCGGCTTTCAAAACTTTGATGGGTCCTGTGATTCCTGTAAGAAAAGTGTGGAACAACAAAGCTCTGCGAGCATCTTGCACTCTCACTGCCAACACTCTTCCTTGCCATTTCACATGTATGATGCCGTCTTTGATGCTGGTCAGATTAATCACTTCTGCTGGGCCACGCCATCCCGAGAGGTCTTTGTTTAGGGGCTTGCGATAGAATTCAACCAAATCACCTTCCTTCAGCTCAAGCAGTTCTCCAGGTCTACGAGTCCTAAAGGAATCTGCACGTCTGGCTTTGGCTTCTGCACTGGCCTGTATCATGCATGGCATTGATGGACACCTGTCGAATTCTAGCTGCATCTCTGTCAGGTGCTACTTCTCCAGCTTCTTCACCGATCATCGAAAGCAATGGGGGAGTGCGTCCAAACAACGATTCATATGGTGTGGTGTTACCAATCTGGAAAAGTGCATTCTTGGCAAAGATTGCTTCTGCAAGAATCATGTCGAAACTGGTTACCAAACCTTCGTTATTGGATTCATCTTCAATCAAATGCAGCTGCCGTCGCAAGATCTCATTGTGTCTCTCAATTACACCACAGTGTTGATCTCTGGCCACAAGTGTCATCTGAGAGCGCTGATTTTCAAACCAGGTTGCTGCTTGTTCAGTGGCCCATCCTCCTTCTTGGTCTGCGATTATGGTTGTGGGAGGACCGTACAGCTGCAACCAACACTTGCAGTATCCTTCCAAAAGCGAGTGCAAACTTCTATCAGGAATGGCTATGACTGAACTCCATCTTATGCAGGTGTCTACGCAGTGAAGTATTATCTTATCCTTGTAGAACAACAAATCCATTTGGATTTCGGCATTGAGCGAAGTGGGAAGTCGTGCTGACATGGCTGACTTTGGCCCTACTCTCTGCCAATTTCTGCACACTGAGCATGTGTCAATGATCGAAGGAATCATGTTCAAAACAGAGGGCGCTACACCAACGGCTTCTAACAGGTTTCTCATGCGTTTGTTGTTTGCATGATACCAACGCAAATGCAGACGCCTGAGGGCTCTACGGACAATGCCTTCCCTGATGGATCTGAGCTGCATCAGTGCATGGCCAAGATCAAACTGGCTCCAGTGAGGTTCTTGTGGTGATTCTCCATCACCATCACCTGCATCGTCATCACCGTCATCATCACCGGGGGGTGAACCTGGATCACCTTGTTTGACGGACGACTTCATCTTGCTGCTGGAGGAGACCTTCTTGGGATTGACAGCTTCAGACTGAACTCCTACCGACACTCGATTCTTGCGAACTGGAACGTTCGCAGGCTCGCTCTTATTGAGTCTTCTAGTTGCTGCTTGTTCGGCAGTGAGCACTTCTCTATCCAGGCTTTGCTCAATGTCATCGTTGGGAGACTCTGGAAGTGCATCATCATCATCCATTGCTGGCTCTGTAGGTGAGTAACCATCATCACTATCATGATCACTGGATTTGGGTCTGCCTGGAATTCCATCTTCATTACCTGAAAGCCTTAGTGTGCTGGAAGGATCCTTATAGGCAGGAACCCTGACATCACGTGGTGCTGAACCCTTGCGCTCGCGACTGGCGCCTTCAGGCATTGTCCTGGCCAAAACCCACTGACATGTCTCATTGTTAGTGTGGGAAGGATGTGCATCGATGAAGTCTCTCTTGACACCCTGGACATGACCATTTCTCAGAGGTTACATCACGAAATTTGATTCAGGACCACGAGTGTGTCTGTCATCGGTCTTCCTTATGTGTCCCTTGTATGCTGGACACACTGCAGCTTTGTCGTGATCATCCGCAGAATTGTTGGAGGCAGTCACTTTGCGTTTTGGATCGTTCTTATCATCCTTGTCAGGCTTCTTACGAGCGGCATATGTTTTGACACTGTTGGACATTGACATGATGCATTCAACAACACCTGCTGCGATCCTACGGCAAGGCTCCAACGGCCACACTTGCATCTCGCTGCTCCTGGCAGTCGGCCGATCATCATCAGACCATTTTCCGATGTGTGCATGTGGATGGTTTCCGCTGCATCGCAGGTTCTGCAGAAATGCAATCAAGGAGGGATGTGAAGCACGACATTCAGCGGGCTTCTTCACAGGCCACCACGGGTGTTGCTGCATTTTCAAACCTACCATGCACTGGTCAAAAGTCACCGGGTAACACAGGTCGGACAGCTCTGTCCATTCTTTCTCCTGAAACAAACCGCTGCCTTGAGGTTGTTCAACCAGGAAGTGTCGACCTGAATCGACTTGGGCTTTTGCTACCTTACCACTGAGCTTGGCCAAAGGGACACTTATTCTTCTACTGGCCAACCAAGCATCGTGATTAATCCTGCGGTTCAGGTGACCCCACTCGGAATAACCTTTGCACACGGGTGCCATAAGAATTACCTTGGGTTTGTTTCGCTCGATGTAAGCAAACAGATATCTTACATCATCTTCTTTGAGGAGATCAATTCCAACTGTCAACTCGAAGTTCACACCAGTCTTTAGATTGTGATGCTTGGAAAGTATGTAGGTGGTGGTACCTTTTCCTCCAAACATTTCCATGCAGTCGATTCCATCCTGTTCAAACTTGGATCTGTAAACATAAGCTTGTTCCATGCTCATGATTCCGTACTGCAACCAAAACGAAGGCAGGTTTTCGGTGGAAGAGCCAAACCCATATGATCACTCATTCTGAAACATGCTATGTACAGCATCCGACATCCTTACGGTTTCATCATCTATCTCATTCTCTTGATCATCGATGCTGTGCATTGGATGGCGTCGGAGCTTCACCTTGGCAGTGGCGAAACTGAGACTACTCAGGTCTTGACCGCAATCATCCTGGTGTTGCTCAACATGCTTGATTCGAGGTTTGCTCTTGTGACCTTCTGCCTTCTTCTTCTTCTGTCTGATGGCATCTTCTGTGGGGTATGCTGCTGCTGCTGTTTCAGACATCATGTTGTTTGAAGACGGAACGACTTGCACACAGAAAACAGTTGTTCCGGTCCACAGGAACGGAACTGACTGGTTTTGACATTTGATCCAATCATCGTCAATCTGCACACTGCTGGAAGCAAAACCTACGGACTTCTGAACGGGCTGCACCTTGGAACATCGCTGGCTTGAAAGGCTTGCAACATCCACTGGGCAGTCTGCACTTGTTGGCACAAAAAGTCCGCACCTAGGCTCAACATGAACTCGGATCAATGTCTCATGCCCGCTTCTCATCCAGAAGTCCTGTCTGGGTTCTGGATCATGTGACACACGTGTCTGTGCTATGCTGGACTGACCGACGTCTGGAATGCCTGACGGAACACTTGGCGTGACATGCATGCTCTGGAAGCGAACTGTTCTGGACTCACCGGTTGGGATTTTGTTTATCTCTTCAGGCAACTTCAACTCAGGTTGTCCTTTTAGTGGTATCTGCGCATGCGTGGCTGAACTTTTCATGCATGTTTGGAGCACAAGTTTGGTTATCTGGTGCAGGACATGTTGCTGTCTATCGTGTGGGTTACCCTTAATCTCTTTCTGGTGCACATGCTTACCGTGAATTCCGCAGTGACAAGTGCCTGCATCAGGCAAAGCGAAGCTTGACAACAGACGGATCTTGGAACAGCAAGGCTCACCGGAGGAAACTCTGGGCTCCTAGTTGCACCACTGATGAGTTGTGGAAAACAGTGATGCAACACATTCACGAACTGCTTGAAGATTCCAAACTTGACTTCGCTCACTTGCATCAACCACTACATGCCTTCCAGAGGCTTTCTGCTGATTTATCAATTTGACCAAATGTTCAGCTCTATACGGGCATCATGCTTGTTTCCGGATCCTGCACATGGACCTGACAATCGGATCCACAGCAACATGGGGCTTTGCAGTGACAGGTCATTCAAGAGTCTCTGGCATTGCAACCTACTATGCAAGTCATGGTGGAAATGCAAAGTCCTATGGCGATGTGACTGGAAGATACGTTGACGAAGTCCAGCTTTGTCCGAAAAAACCAAACCAGACTATCAGCCATATTCATACTGTCAACTGGCTTCATTGGTGACTTGGACTCACATTCGGGATTTGGAACATTCACGAAACTGTGTTGGGATTCCACAGCAGTGGGCTGACCAGTTTCAACATCAGATCCCACTGCCTTATGTCCTGCTCAGTTGGAAGTTGGATGGTGTTCACCATCCTGCCGACGACGAGATGGTGACTGGGAACGATCCGGCCTGACGGACATGTTGAATTGCAATTCCGGCTCTGAATGACTCCGGCTCTGCATGACTTGGTGTTGGGTCATTCTGTTTCCGGGGATGTATTGGCAATATCCAATGACCGCTAGGTGTGAATTCCAAATCATACGCATGTGAACCTGGGGACAGCTTCAGCTCGACACCACCTGGGCCTGGAAGCACAAGACGGCCACTACCACAATCGATCAGACTTTGCATCTTGCGAAGGGTCTTGTTGCCCAACAATGGTGGGAGAAGCGATCCCTCAATTTGAGGTGCAGTGTATGTGGCACTGGATGCATTACCACTGACATCATGAACTGACATGGACAGACGTATGGCCCAGCGAGCTACTTGTGCGTCTTTGCCGACTCCTTCTACCGGCCGTGCTCTGTCCATGGTTTGTTCCTCAAGTGGCAGACCAGTTTGTTCACACATCTGTTCGGCAGTGATGCTTCCAACCAAGTTATCATGAGCACCAGGGTCAATCAACAAACCAACAGCACCATTCTTGCTCCTAGTTCGGAGGTGGTATGACATTCCGGTGGTTGCATCATTGTTCTTGGCTTGAGATTCGGATTCCCACCAAGGAAACATTCCACCACCTTTGCCAGCGGTGCTTGATGATCTTGATCCCGCGGCACTACCTGAGCCATAGGGGGCCAGCAGGTTGGATCTGCTGGTGCTGTCTTGGGCCATGGAACCTGTGTCAGACTGCACTATGCGAATTGCACCATGGTTCGAACCAAGCAGTGACATGGAAGCTGTTGCATTGGATTGTTCCAGACCCGTCGTGATGTTTCTCAACCCTGTCTGGTTTCTTGCACGAATTTCTTGTTCTTCAGCTGACATGCGTCTACGGCTGACATCATGCGTGACATCATCAGGATCTGCAGGTCTTGTTTTGTCTTGCTTCCTATGCTGGAAGTTTGGCGGGCTCATGCTTGGCGGTGGAAAAGCTGGCTCACGTGCACCCTCCAACAGTGGTGTGACTTCAGCTTGCGTGAACTGCTTGGGGTTTAGACCTACACCCACATCGGAAGCAATTCCTGCACATGCGGATTGTGATGGCGGTCTTCCGGGACTCCATGTTGGAGGTGGTGGTGCTGTGCTGGAGCGAGGCGTCTCAGCAGGATCATCGGGTTCAACATCTGGCTCTGATGAAATTCTCTTCCTACCATGGGACGACTGTGCACTGGCTGCTTCGGAGACACTTCTGAGATTCTCAAACTCGGTTCCAAAGAAATGGACACCTGGCAAAACACCGGCTGTGTTTGACTGACTGACGCCCCACAATCCTGGATGACTGGTCATCAAGGCTAGCTGTTGTCCTGCTGGCTGTGACATGTGTGCCATTGAAACACCTGTGGGAATTGCGGATCCACCCTTACCAGCATCAGACCTTCTGTTGGGACACTTTCTCCACAAATGCTCATCAGAACCACAATTGTTGCAACGCATGACCTGACCATTGCGATCTTTGGGGTTCTTACGATGACCACTGCCTTTGTGTCCCTTCTGGAATCCATCTTTTCCACCTGCAAATGCACTGGACGGAAGGAAAGCTGCGAAGCCTTTTGATCCCTTGGACTTGCCTTTTCCCCATTTTCGGTACCTTCGTGGATATCTACCTGAGAATCGTCTCCACTTTCTCCTAGCAAAGGCATAGTCTTGATAGACTTCTGAGGCATCAAGGTTTCGGCAACGGATCCATCATAGGACTCATTATCGGTGCTGGTGTCAGTGCTGCATTCATCTTGAAAGTAGGAACCAAAACCACATGTGGGACACACTTCATCGTGGTACGAATGGTATGCTTCAGCACCAGTTCCCTGCCAGTTCTCCCAACCTGTGGACTGATTGGCATTTGGCTCAACCGTTGCAAAGCCCATGGATCTGAAGGCACGGGGGCAGAACCTGTGGCATATGTGTTGGAAGGGCTTTGATTGTCATCGAAGGCTGGGAAATAACCATTGGCAGTGTCATGGCTTTGGTGTTCAGTGAAAAACGCACCGTTGTCACCCGTTGCTCCTGGGGTATGATTACCATGCATTCTCCCTTCTCTCAAATCGAACACTCTTCGCAGTCTTTCCATGAGTTCATGCAACTCGTGTTCATGTTGTGGAAGTTGGCCATTCAGTGGTAACAATCGGTCCCAAATTTCTGCTGGAACATGTATGGCTTGAAGCAGCAACCACGATAACCCAGTCCAATTGATGGCAAATCCCGCTCTATTCTGGGCCCTAGTCCTAAAAATGTCGAAGCGAACCAAAGTGCTATCAATGGATTCGTTTGGGAGCCTACGGAAGGAGAGAAACTCTGCAATGCTTTTGGTTGTGTTTTCGGCCTCCAGAGGAGCATACCTACGGGCTAGGATGTGAACCAACAGCAAAAGGCCTGTGACCTGTTGGCCTGTCACCGGATCCCAGTCTCCGTGTTGCAACTGTTGGGGTGTGAGCTCCCGCACCAGTTCGCGGGCCCCTTCTTGTATTTGCAAGGCTGCGATTGGCCCATGCCTCACTGCTTCAAGGTCAGTTGCTGATGCCCAAAGCACCAGATCTGCTACCCAGCTTCGCAAACTGTACAGGTGATTACGCTCCAAGCTCCATGACGGAGGGACCTTCAAAGTAGCTGTGCCCACAAATGGTGGGCCAGCGTCACTTTGGTGCACGTGTTGGCGTGGCTGTCCATGTTGTGAAGCATGTGGTCGATATGGCTGCTGGTGCATGGAACAAATCAATGATGCTATCACCAACAATGCATAACAATGCGCACATGAACACTGTCACTTGCAAGTTGAACAACATGTCATGCTTGGGAGAAGATCCTCTTGACCATGCAGATGTTAGGATGCGAATCAGCCTGCCTGCAGTTGTGTGCTCATGATCATGCATGCTCTTAGGACGATCAACCCTGGCTGCGACATGTGACGGACCATGGTTATCAGGAATGGTGGCAACATGTGGATTGGACACCTCGGACATCACACGCGATACATCTGTGTTGGAAACAGGGGCACTGGCACTCACTACTTGGGCACTGGAACTCACTGGGCTATCACTGTTACTGTTTACACCTGTGTTGGAAACAGGGGCACTGTTGGATTTAAAATCGGCCATCCTACGGACATGCTCTGACGATCCACTACAATCAGTTCTGTCACACAGTTCAAACGAAGCTCGAAGCGTCTGCAAGATTCGGTTTGTGTGAGACCGCTGTTGTGGAGTCATGTCATCCCTGGTCAACAACTCGTCATCGTGGATCGACATGTAGCCCGTGCCGTTTGCAAGCTCAACATGAATTCGATCGTTGTTGTGAACCATTGCATCAACCGTCACCGACACACGAATCCGGCTTACCACCATTGAATCGTCCAACCACGTGTCCGGTTTTCGTACAAGTTCGCTTGTTGTCACACCTGTTAGCGTATTGGGCTCATCTCCAAAGGTTTCCGACTGCAACTGCTGCGGCTGCTCCAAAACACGAGTCCGGTTATGGGTACGATTGCTCGATAGATCACCATTGACTTCCAACGTAAACCAGAATCAATGCACATAGGAGGTTGCGACACAGGAAATTGCAGAAGGATCTAGCTGGAGCTTCCATGGGCTCCGCTACCAAGTTTGATTGGCAGCGGACCCGATTGTCAACATGCTTCCCCAAGACCAAAGGCCTCATGAACGCCTCCTTCCCCTTTTCCTCAGAAGATGAACGCCTGGCCATTGTTTGGCCTAGTCCATGGAACAAGCAAGGGAAGTACGAAAGGTCAAAAGGGAAATCGGTCGGTCTCGAGACTAATGATCACGGTGAGGCATGGAGACATGTTGGTGTGACACCCCATCAGGACAGGAGGTTCTCTTCAACTGACCTGTCATACTGGTAAAGTACGGTAGTGATGGCAGACCGCCAGCAGACCCATAGCCATGTCATCCACCCAATCTCCGCTTCGCTCCGTGGCACTGCGCGGGACGGCCAACGGCAAGGCATCGGCGAGGTGAACCTCCATGGTGCCATCCAAGGGCCCAAAAGATGGAGCAACAGGAGGCAAGATCGGAGATAAGCGCTGCTTGGCCCAGGTAAACCTGAAACATAGTGAAACATAGTGAAACATAGTGAAACATAGTGAAACATAGTGAAACATAGTGAAACATAGTGAAACCAAATGAACATAGGTGAACGTCTTGACAAACAATGGCTCGGAAACGCCTAAAGATTTGGATTGCAAATCTTGACAGCTTCGACTTCAAACGGCCTTGTTGCCAAGTTACAGTTGATCCACCCATGCCCTCCGCGCTTTACCTTGGTCACAGGACTTTTGAAATCCGACATCGAAGATTAGTCAAAAATCACAAATGCTGATTGTCCGAAGCACATGATTTTCTGAAACTGTGTTTTGATGGAAAATCAGTCTCTGCTTCAATGACTTCTCTTGCCTGCTGAGACACTTTGACCTGGCAAGAACTTGCTGAGTTCCTTCAGCTTTGGCGGTGCCTCTGAATCCTGGTCGTTTTTCATTGAGAGCAGATACAACACCAGCAGCAGCCGTCTGTCCAAACTGCTGCTATCACCTGAAGTGTGCAGGCAAAACACGTCAGAGGGGCATGCAGAAAGTCGTTCAAAATAACACACAGCTTGTCATACATGAATGCACAGGCAAATGTTACGGAACAGCTGGTTAAGAGCAAATCCTGCATGAGTAATACCTCTGGAGATTCCTTGAAGGGAATTTGCAGCGAATCTCAGCATGGTACGGGCAACGGTGAAGAGCAAAATCCTGTGGCAGAGGCCACGCACTTTGGCCCACGAAACATCAAATACATGTTACTACATGTTACATGATCTTTATCCATCACATATTGAATTAAGGATAACCCCACATGTCAATTTCTTCCAACAAGCAGCAAAAGAAAGGTAAAGATGGCATGGGGAAAGCAGGAAAGAGAAAAGAGATGGTGAAGGATTGGTGTGGAACAAGTTGTGTGTGGAAGAGTAAGTGTGAGCAAGTTGTGTATGGACAAGTTGTGTATGGACAAGTTGTGTATGGACAAGTTGTGTATGGACAAGTTGTGTATGTATGTATGTATGTATGTATGTATGCGTGTCTGTATGCAGACATGTGTGTAGGGCAAGTTGTTTGCGAGTAAGTAATTTGTGAGTAAGTTGCGTCGTCTTCTTCGATTTCCACCAGGCTCTGCTGTTTTTTCCCGACAAACTATCAAAGCGATGGTGTGCTCACCATACTTCCGCTGACTCGGTCCGCTGACCAAAGTAATGGTCTGCACTCTTTATACCGCAACCGCAAATTTTGCGAAGTCTTTCTGCACGCCCTGTGGCTGGTATGTATGTATGTATGTATGTATGTATGCATGTATTGAACAGCAGCATCTGCGCGACGAAGTCGGTGCCTGGCATAACAACAGAAAACACCGGCTGTCACGAAGACTGTTAGTTTCAGAAGCACAGATTGATAACAGACAGATGAGCACCGTCAACTGCAACAGCACTAGCAAAGATCACGACATCGCAGCGTGGTGGACCTGCCAAGCGACGGCGGCAAGTGCAGTAATGTAGCTCCCACTGAAAGCAAGCAACACAAGAATAGTGGCAACCGATTGCATAGAAACTGTTCTGATCTGTCATGAACGTGATCTTTTTTTCTGTCGCTCACGTGGCCGCGTTCAGGCGCTAGATCTTCGCACGGCGCGTCAATCCATGCACGCTAAAGCTAGCTCCTTTGGCCATAAACGGTATATACTGCACACGGAATTCGGATCAAGTTCAAGACAAGGTAACAGCCACATCGAACAGCACGGACACCTACGGACAACCGCAGACGGTCACAAAGTCCAGAAAGTCTCCTCCAGTTGCACTTCTGCGATACACAGCCAAGCGGCATATGGCAACGACACCTCCGCTGCAGACTCCCGCGCGGCACGCAGCATGCCGAGGTCGCCCACAGCAGTTTCAAACTGACTCTTATGGTACCTGCCGACGAAGGCATGAAAGTCACGCCAGGAGGTTCCTTGTGGCACGACCGCTTCCAGCTCCAACACTGCTGCATTATTCTCCAGAACCTTAAGAAGGGACCAGTCGTCCATGGAGGCCACGCAGAGAAGACGTCTGACCCGGGCCAAGATGATGCAGTCTTCGCCTTCCAAGTCATAGACTCTGCCCTCTGTCTGCTCCAAGCACTCAAGACATGACATCCATGCTTCCTTCCAATCTCGAGCAGAAATCTGACTGTCAATCGTCCTTGGGCTTCCAAACGTTTCTTCCATACATTGGCGAAAGAGGCGCAAGGCGGTCAGAGAAATCGTAAAGTGAGTTTCTATTCTAAAACCGGCAAAAGAGCAAGACATTTTACACAGCAAGAATGACCAAAACTGAGCCGAGAGCTCCTGGAGCAGAGATCGATTTTTTTTCCAGTTCTTCTAGTGTTACAAATCAGCAAGCAAACTTGGAATTTCTATGTGTATATATATATATATTTCTCTCTCTCTCTCTCAACATGCGTATTACATAGTCATTATGATTGGTTGATGTCTACTGCTGAGACCACTGCTTCGAACAGTATGTTCAGAAACGGCAGCATCTGCGCGATGAAGTCGGTACCTGGTAGAACAACACAAAATAACAAGCTGTTATATCTATACAGAAAAGGCGACGTCATCATGAAGTCTGTCAGTTGCAGAAGCAACAGTGCTGTCAAAGATCACGACGCACCAGAGTGTTGGGCCTGGCAATGAAGGCGGTACCTGGCATTAAACGTTTTCAACAGACGTACCGCAACAACACGATCAAAGATCACGACGCACGAGAGTGCTGGATCTGCGCTATGAAGTCGTCACCTGGCAGTAAACGCTTTCATCAGACGTGCTGAAGCAGAAGATCTCTCATGCAGGTGGAGCAAATGAATGCACAGTGACAACTCTATTTCTTGCAGCTTTTTTCCTTCGGTACAAAGCGCTATATCAAAGTTGTAGCGGCGACGCTAGATTTTCGCACTGCGCGTCAATCGCACGTCTGCTCGAGCGGGCATCCTCAGTCAGCGGCATGTCTTCCGGCGTTTGCTCCATGACCCTCCTCATCCATGTCGGCAACCTCCTGGTCCATGTCGGCGCCAACCTCGGCAACCTCCTGGTCCATGTCGGCGCCAACCTCGGCAACCTCCTGGTGCAAGCGCTCCACTGCGCTCTGCAACTCCACTGTGTTGTGGTGCTCCGACTCTGTCAGACGGCGGCTGTCTTTCTCTGCTTCCGCTCGCGTCTTCCTCGTCGGGCCACACACTTTCTTCTTGTCCATGGTCACACGGACCCGACGGAAGGAGCAGGCAAGGCAGGCCGAGCACCGCGCCGAAGCCGAGCATGAACTTCTCTCAAGCGGTCCATGGACACCGCTGCCGCCTCCTCTAATTGCTGCTTATCTTCGTTCGCAGCCGCTTCGGTTGTGCGGGTGGGGCCATTGAACGTCGTGTCGCCCTTCTTGCGGCGAGCTCGCCAGCCAGTGGCTGTTTTCTCCAAAGACATATCTTTCTACAACCTACGATCCAGCAATTTCTCCCCACGGCGGCCCAAAACAGCCAGATCAGACCGCTGCGTTCGCAGCTCTTATCTGTGTGTAATTAGAAGCATGATCTATTCCTTGCTAATCCAGTCTGCTGGTATCTGGATGCACACAAAATGTGAATACACTACTCACAAGCTGTTGACGCCGTTCGAGAGCTGCAGCCAAAATTCTACCCGCAGAATTGACACCTTGTGAGCAGGTCCGGAAGAGTGAGTGATTTTCATTCGAGGTCATTGTCTTCCATCTATTGCAGCTGGCAAAGCGTTTTTTAACAGCGCGTGCACATGCTAGGTGATTTAGCAGCTCTTTTTTTTCGGCACTGAGCGCGATTTCGAAATTATGGGGGCGACGCCAGATTTTCGCACGGCGCGGCAATCTAGACGCGCGCACCGCAGAGCCGCTAGCAGCGACAAGGAATCTTCGCACGGCGCAGCAATTCCGTCGCGTGCATCGCAGGGCCTCCTCTTACGCCGCATCCTCGGTCATCGACGCGTCCTCTGGCGCTGTCTCCATGACGCTTGCAAGACGCTTCATTGGAGTCCATGCCTGGTCGTAGGTGGGTGTTTGTTGGCTTTTGACTTGAAGTTCTTGACTCCCTGCACACGATGTGCTTCCACTGGCACGTGCCACAGCACGCTCCACTCGCCAGCATCTGAGGTGTGAGCAAGCACCACGAAATGCGCCTCGCCCACGTTGCCCCGCAGCAGCCATGCCACTGCCGATGCAGGGCCAGCACAATGCAGCTTCACCCGGCTTGGCCCGCCTGTGGCAGCCGGGGCAGACAGTATACGCAGTCCACGGAGCGCTTGACGCGCATTGCCGAGGTGGACGTCGGGGAGCTGCTCGTCGTCATTGAAGACCACCAAGCATCCGAAGCTGGCTTCCACGTCATCCACCGAAATCAAGCCAAGCTGGGCATCCACCTGCAACGTAGCCAATGGCGCGACTGGGCAACCGTTCTTCATCTGGCAATGCGACACTTTCCTGTTCAGGGCTTCAGGTGCGACGACAGCTTCAGCTCGGCTGGCACGCAGACAAGGCGTCAGGTGTCGACATTCCATCTCCAATGTCTGCTGGTAATCGTTCTCCCGGAAGGTGAAGCGACAGAGCCACTGCGCAGCGCGAAAGAGATCACGGAGCTGGGCACGCACCGGCTGCGTATCTTGGACTCCCTCCGGCAGGGCAGCACCCATGTCAGCGGCCGCTCGCAGGACCAGCTCGTGGTAGAGGACGACAGTGCACTGGCAGTTCGAGTCGGCCAAAGTCAACCGCAAAGCGAAGCGCCTCTCTGTGCCTTCGGTAGGGTGCGCCTGGTCACAGGAGGGGATGAGTCATGTATAAATACTTCACACTCTGCATGTCTTGATGTGTGAGCACGCGCGTGCACGCGCGCGGCTATTTAAACGTGCACCCCGCCTCGCACGGCGCCGCTTTCTTGCACTTGACACAAGAATCGATGAGCCACTGATCGGTATCGCTCTTCACGGACGAGATGCCAAGCACCTGCAGACCCACCACCTCAAAGACCGTCTCCAACTTCCGGAGCTGTCCTGGTACTATCGCTCCCACCAAACTGCTCAGTGACGATGGCGTGGCCGGGCAACCGATCCAATCCTTCACAGGAATCTCCGTCAGCATGCGGCAATTGTCTTTGTGCGCCAGCTCGCCTTTCCTGACATCTGGTCACAAGCAGCCACATGAAACAAACACAAAAAAAAAGGTAAGATCTACAAACGAAAATCAACCGTCTAAACTAAACAATCAACCGTCTAAAACACGCGCGCGCGCACACACTGCGGCCCAAGCGCAGCACTGCAACCATTTCCGGCGAACACGGCAGGATGGTTGTGCCACGCCAGCTGCCGATTTCCCATGAGTTCTCGTCCTTGCGTTTGCTTATCAGAACCTGATAAAGCATCAGACAAGCGCCCGCCGCCTGCTCCGCCAGTTCCTGTGCTTGCTCATGCCAGAAGGAGCAGCGGACGCGGGTTGCGCCCTGCTGCACAATGGCATTGCACACCATTGCCGGGCCATCCTTGGTCTGTCGTTCGATTGTGCCAGGATTCTCCACCACACTCACCGCCACGCAGATCCGTTGCCGGTCCTTCACTCGACTATAAGCGCCTGCAATGGCACGAGCGGATGCACTGCTGGGAGTCCCTCCCAAGGCGCCTGCGGCAGCTTCTGCACCCGTACTTGCAGGCCCAGGGGTCCTTTCAGCCGCAGGTGGTAGTGGAGACGCGAAGTGGAATACTGCGCGGGCGTTGCCACAAAGGAACCGCCCTGAATAGCCACGACATCTCCCACGGCACACTTCTGCGCAGGCTGGTCACCGATCTCGCCCCATGCTTCCACGTAGAGAACTTCCGTCAAGCTTTCGGTTGCGGCCAGATGCGCTTCCAGCTTCCGCGTCGGGGCCAGGTCAGCGCTTGCCTTGCCACCTTTGGCTCCTTTACCTTTTCTGCCGCCGGCGTGGCCGCAACCTGAGCCGCCTTCCTCGGCTTCACCTCTTGCCGCTTCAAGATGACGATGCGACCAGCCATGGTAGTGTTCTGGTCGCCTCGGTACTCAGATGGCTTCAGGCAGGTGACATCCATGGTGCTGCTGCTGGAGGTGCCCATACGACGATGAATGTGCGCAGATGCGGTCTTGTTGCCACCTCCTTTAACACCGCACTAGTTCTGCACTGATAGATGTATATTTGAAAAGTTCTCCAGTTGCCTTCCCACACGGCGTGTCGAGGCGGCCAGACCAGACCTCATTTACATCTGTAGACATTATAGATGTGTGTATAAACGAAGCACTCTGCTTGTTCTGATCATAGTGGCCGACGCTTATCTGATGATAAGAGACCTAACTGGATGCAAGGGAAAATGCCTTCGGAAACAAGAACTAACCCTGCAGATGTGTATAGACATCAAAGAGCGTCACTTACAGGCGTGACCGATGTGCAATCATAAAACGAAGCGGCGGCAACCAACGCTAGTTCCCGCCTGGCTCAAAGAGCAATGATTCTTGATCACCTGGCAATGTGAAAATGCAAACTATCTTTGATTGCTATGCCAAAAAAATCATAAAAGCTTTGACTACTGCTTCCGAACAAGCTGTTCAGCAATGGCAGCATCTGCGCGATGAAGTCAGTACCTGGCAGAGAACAACACAAAAGAACGGGCTGTCATTCCTGTGAACTAAAGGCGACATCAGCATGAAGACTGTCAGTTTCAGAATCACAGACTGATAACAGAAACACACGAGCAGAGTCAATGGCACAGTGAATGTCTAGTCTGCCACTGACTACAAGCTGCTGATGCCTTCAAAATGCTCACGCCATAAGCTATGCAGCAGCAAATATGGTTGCCTGTCACGCAAGGCGATGGCTTTCACCAATTTCACCAATTTCACATGATCATTCATATCCAAAACACGTGAGTGGATCATTTCACCTATGATACCTTTATACCAATTGCCGGTTCGTTTTCTTAGGTCATGGCATTTGCTTCGAACACTGCAACGGCAGCATCTGCGCGATGAAGTTGGTACCTGGCAAAGCAAAGCAAAACAACAGACTGTCAATTTCAGAATCACTGTCAATTTCATGAAGACTATCAATTTCAGAAGCACAGACTAATAAGAAACACATGAGCAGAGTCAATGGCAACAATACGATCAAAGATCACGACCTCGCAGCGTGCTGGACCTGTCGCGCGAGCACAGCAAGTGCAGCAATGCAGCTCCCACTGAAAGCAAGCGACGCAAAGTGAAGGTGGATGTCACAAAGTGCCACGCCTGCCACGCAAAACGCCGCGGCGTCCCAGCGCGGCCTGGGAACCAAGCGCGCCACCAGAGCCAACCCAGTGCCATAAGTGCCACGCCTGCCACGCAAAGTGACGATCCATGTCATCAAGTGCGACGCCCGCAACACAAAGTGAAGGTGGATGTCACAAAGTGCCACACCTGCCACGCAAAACGCCGCGGCGTCCCAGCGCGGCCTGGGAACAAGCGCGCCACCAGAGCCAACCCAGTGCCACAAGTGCCACGCCTGCCACGCAAAGTGACGATCCATGTGTTGACAAGTGCCACGGCTGCCACGCAAAGTGAGGATCCATGTCATCAAGTGCCACGCCTGCCACACAAAGTGAAGGTGGATGTCACAAAGTGCCACGCCTGCCACGCAAAACGCCGCGGCGTCCCAGCGCGGCCTGGGAACCAAGCGCGTGCCATAAGTGCCACGCCTGCCACGCAAAGTGACGATCCATGTGTTGACAAGTGCCACGCCTGCCACGCAAAGTGACGATCCATGTCATCAAGTGCGACGCCTGCCACACAAAGCGAAGGTGGATGTCACAAAGTGTCACGCCTGCCACGCAAAACGCCGCGGCGTCCCAGCGCGGCCTGGGAACCAAGCGCGCCACCAGAGCCAACCCAGTGCCATAAGTGCCACGCCTGCCACGCAAAGTGACGTCCAT